GGGCCCAGCGAGAATGTTAGCCCCGGGGCCTGTGCTGGCTCTCGACATTCCTGTTGGCAACTGTTCACTGACTATACATTACGAAAAGAGAAAGCACTGATCAAATACATCAGCATCCGGAATGTTAATGACAAAAACAACATGATTAACTGTTTTAGTTTCTATTAAATTTGACTGTTATTTTGCGAATGATAAAAATAAAAACTACTACAATACGGGTCTTGTAGTCAGTATTTGCCTCAAAGTTCATATTTTAGTTTCTTAATATGAAGAAATGTATCTATCAAAATGAAAGATTGCAATAAAAATTTCTTGAAGTTTTTAAAATTTAATTATAAAAAAAAAGTGCAGTGCTTAATAAGTATTATTTAAACATCTTTATACATTGCTAGTGTAAATATCAAACCGAATAGTTTAGCATTAGATGCCCTCAAGCTTACCAATGAGCTGATGTATTCCTTTGGGAATTTTGCACTCTACAAGCAGTCAGTGATCACTTCTATAAATATATATTTATTCATTCAGTTACAAATCTCCTTACATAGATTTGTATACCTTGTGAGAAAAAAATGATTACTTGAAACAAATGTAAGACAAAATTATAAATCAAAGCTGAAAATGTACAATTTCAACATTTCTTATCAAGATCTATTGTAATAAGATTCAGTGTCCACGTGTGTGTGTCATAGGCAAATGGGTTTCCTTTATAAAGTGTGCTAGTACAATAGCTTAGTTCAAGTGGAAAGAAAAAGTTGTGAAGAAACATTTTTTACCATACCTGAATCATTACTTCTATTAGGAATCACTGGAAGGTAATATCGAACAATATAGTTGTGAAGAAACATTCTTTACCATACCTGAATCATTACTTCTGTTAGGAATAACTGGAAGGTAATATCGAACAATATAGTTGTGAAGAAACATTCTTTACCATACCTGAATCATTACTTCTATTAGGAATAACTGGAAGGTAATATCGAACAATATAGTTGTGAAGAAACATTTTTTACCATACCTGAATCATTACTTCTATTAGGAATCACTGGAAGGTAATATCGAACAATATAGTTTGTCTCATTCCAATTTTCACTAGATTTTAATTTCATTCCATACAAAGCAATCAGTTGTATCTCAAAGGTGTAACTTTTTCTCGGAGATTCCTCTGATACTTCTAAGAAAGTCAGAAATCGGTTCCTTTTTAACAGGTTACAAACAATACAGTTGTATTTTGAACATACCAGAGACAAAATATTACTATACCAAACTCAACAAACTCACAAAACATACACTAGTTCTTGAAACTGTTAACTTTTGTCAACTAGAACAAATAGTAGTTGTTTTTGCTTAAATTAATATATTTTTATCTAGAGTTACCTACAAATGCACCAGAGATTATAATTCTCCTATACTTAAAGTGTATTTCCGATAAGTACTTATCTCCCCTTCTATTCTTGTTCAATGCTGCCCTCTACATGCAAAAATTTTTTTGCATGTCACAATCTTTGAGCTCCCACATACTCCACGATCAATGTGGTTCAACTGCGTCTTGCATGCAAATCATCATGCAATAATCCTCCACCAATAGGAGTGCGACATACCCTCCTGATGCATGTGACTCCCTCTATTTGATTCTACCAAACAATCCCTTCAATTTTTGACAGTAAATGAAAGTACTAGTGTATTGGAAATACATTTTCAGTATAGAAAAATTATAACTTCTGATAACCTTTTCTCACATAAATAGCTAGAAACTCATTTTGAACAGGTGGAGAGACCAGTGCAAGGGAAAGAAAGAAGCATCCTTCGAAAGCTTCCGAAGAACACCCGAAAAGGGAAGATTCTTGCAGAAGAGGATCCCACATAGGAGACTGCCCCACTTCTGTACCAGGTACACTCTACACCCAGTGTGGAAAGAGGTGTTCCAAACATGGGTGAAAATGGGAGGAGCACATCCAAATGGGAGAGAACAATAATTTGGATAGTGATCCAAACTACCTTATATTGGAAGCTCAATCCCTGTGAAGACAATAATGTGGGTGAGAGTAAAAAGGATATGCCTCAAGGTGTAGAGTGGCTATGGTGCAATGGACCATACACAGCAAGGCAACTGCATCCAAAACCCAGCCACCAGGAACCAATAAAAATGAACACACCTGAGAAATCATGTCCAAAAAAAGCCATATTAGGCCTAGCTGATTCTGCAGTAGAGGCATAGGAAGACATGGCAAAATCGGATGGAAGAAAAAGAATGTCAAATTCCTCATCTTCCTGAACAGGTTCGAAGAGGAATATCAAAAACATCAGGAGAAGAAGGTTGGCTCATATAACAATCAATCTCATGGCAGATAAGAACTGATAATAGTCAAATTCCCCTCACCTGCAGCTTGTGTGAGTGTGCTGGTAGAAGGTATTACCTCCGAAGTGGTAACTTGGACTTTGGAATTCATAGTTAAAAATGAATGACCAAACACAACAGTGTTAGAATAAAGAAATGAAAAACTGGGAAAAAAAAGTTATTCTTAAGTTCACAAACTTTTGTAAAAATGAAAATAACAATTCCACTTCAGAATAAAGGACAAAACAGTTCAAAGAAAATTTCAAAAAATGCACTAAATTAAAAAGAAAAACACAATTGAAGAGCACAATGAAAAATGTCTTGACACAAGCACTGCCAAACAAGAAGCAATAGCTTGGTAGATTCAAATAGAAGGAGTCACATGCGTCAGGAGGATGTATCACACTCCTATTGGTGGTTGGTTATTGCATGATGATTTATAGTTGAACCACATTGACAGTGGGGTACGTGGGAAGCTCAAGGCTTATGGGATGTAAAACTTTTTTATAGAGGGCAGCACTGAACGAGAATAGCTATATCTGTGAAAGGAGATAATATACCATAATGTAAAATTATAATTTTGAATGAAAATACTAACATGCAAAAATTCATGTTGTATAATGTGTATATTAATTTCCAGCAGTTTTTTTTCATAAAAACAATCAAAAGATATTCAATAATATAGAAATAGAAAACATGGTAGTATTTCTCGGATGTAATCATAGGTTAAATTAATTATATTTCTGTTTCACTTCTTACTTATTTCACTGCCAGGAACAAGCTTCTCAGAGTATCCACAAGCTTCAACCCTGTTAATCTTAAACAGAAAGATCACAATAACAAAAGTGAAATACATTCAGTTGATCAACAGAAATAAAGTAGTATAAGTTGAACTATAATTATAAAAGGTAAAAACATATTTTTCTCTACTAATACTTATTAGATTATAAATAAAGTAGTAACTTGTATAGTTGTAACATAAGTTGTAACTAGTACTAATAAAACTTTTACAAAATTAATTCCTAAGTCTATTGCACCAAGTCTTTCTGAATTATCACATTAATGTGCAATGTCCAAACTAAATAAAGTGCCAATTAAACTTTGGATATTGCAAAATAATGAGATTGTTCTAAATGGTCTAATAACCTTAAATAATACAAAAAAATGTAGTTACAATGTAGACAAACAGTTGATTTTCTAATTGAAAATTCAGTTAATGTGGTTAATTTTAAATCAGTTATTTCATTATATTATATTAATATAATATAATTATATAACAATATAATTATTAATATAATTTATTAATATAACAAATTATATTATTTGTTATATTCCATATAACATTAAAGTAAATAACACTAAAATTCTTGATGATACAAATATAAAATACCTTTTTAGTTTCTGTATTCATAATAATTTTACAAAGGTGATATAATCACTACTAGCAGGTCCAGGATTTTCAGGGGGCTTGCTTTAATTACAGACACACAAAAATAAGCAATGGTTCTGGTGATACAAATATTTTTGATAAACAGTTAGTGGTATGTTTCCAAGTTTTTAATTTCTTTCATCTAATAGTAATAAATAAATAAATTTTATCAACCCCCTAACAGATGTCACATTCACCTTCTATGCATATCCTTGCACTTTACAAGTCAATATATACTTACTAGACACACATGCTTATATTCATTAGAAAGAGCTTATTTTACACTATAATCCAACGATAGTTATTTTGAAATTAGTGCCAAGTCGTTGTCATCAGATAGATCTAACTGCTTGTAGTATTGTTGGCTACCTGATCCATGATAGCACTTCAATTGTTTCTTACCCTAAATATGTTATAGTTAGATAGGGAATAAAACTGTATTTAAGTTTTAATTTTATATTTTAGTTAATTATGCATCATTTGTGTTTCAAAATTCATATTTGAAAGGTTTAATAACTTTTATACAATAACAAACACTTCACTCTGCAAGGCTTATATTACCAAGCGAGTAAAAAAGAATTCAGACATAAGCTGAAGTATCTCAGCCATTCATACAGTTCTTCTGCCCGCCCGTACTCATCAACTTGTGTTAACATAAATAATAAACAGTAAGGAACAGGAAAGGAAAATAAAACATTAAACTATAAGTGAAAATTGTAAAGACGTGAAAGTATGCATATGACCCAAAGAAGATATATTAAAACTAGTCTACAAAGGTAAGTACGTATTTCCATTTCTTAATTTTAAACATTTCATTGCACTGTACATTGATGATAATAGCTAGAGTTAATGACATAGTAGAGAAAATGGAAAATATAATATAAATATTTACCTTAAAAAAACTTCTGAAATTAATTTAGGAGGTTTTAGAGATTATACAAATGAAATATGAAAACTGTAAGATAATAAATAGTATTTTTATACTCAAAATGAAAATCACCTTGCGGATGAACTTTCAGAGTCCAATTGCAAATAATTATTAAATTAATTATTAATAATAATTGAATAATGAATTTTTATTAGAAATAGCAGAAAAAATCAAAATTAAATATTTTTCTGAAACTACATATTTTAGGAAATAAATAAAACAAACTAAATAAAAATAAATAAAAGTTCTTATCAAATTTAAAACAATTTCATCCACTAGTTTCATTTTTGGAAAGAAATTTCACGTGAGTTACATAAC